GTATATATATATATATATATATATATATATATATATATATATATATATACAGGGCTTGACATTAACACCCGCCAAATGCGGGTAGATTTGAGCTGTGGCGGGTCGGAAAGCCACTACCACTAGCCACTTTGGCTGGTTTAAAACAATTTTTAAATTGTAGCTTTCCTAAAAGCAGAGTTCGTCAATAAAGATCGCCCAATATTCGTGCAAATGCGATCTTAGAATCGAGAAGCAGCACGACTGACAAAACTAATTGTGTTTGCATGACTCTCCAGGCAAAAGAAAGCAGGTGCATACTGAATGTGAGGATGAACATTTGCACCAACAGCTATTTGTGATTCCTTGCTTGAAGCAACCATGCCTAGAAACACATTGGGCCCTATCATACACCCGGCGCAATGTGGCGCAAGGCGCAGCACAATAGTCTTTTACTACTTTTAGCTCGGCGCAAGGGTCATTTTGAGGTTTTGCCCCACGCTGTTTAAATAGCAAGTGCATTTGCGCTCAAATGTGCGCCCATAGGCGTTCTGCTCTAAAAAAGCAGGCGTGTTTTGGCGCGTTGCTATTTTGAGAAACTGTAAATAGTCTGTTCTTTAGACCAGAACAAAGTCGGTCTATTGTCTGGCGCAAAGTGCGCCTGGCTTACACACTACACACAAGATGCAATACGCAAATATCTTTACATGTGTAAAAGATATAATATATTAAGTATATATATAATAAGGATATATATAAGATATAAATATAAATGATTAAAATATTACAAAACATATTAATTTCTAGCCTACATGAAACCACTGCCTTACTTTCTTCATCTCGGGAGGCTTTTTCAGTTCATTCAACTTGCTTTTGTATAATGTTATTATTATTAGCAGAATTATTTATTATATCTATATTTATATTTGTTTTATTAAAAACAAGCTTAGATTTGTCCACCTGTCAGGTTTTAGACCATAAGGGGCACAGCATGTGTTTTAGGATATAACTCAGTATTTTGACCACACTTTGTTATTATTGTTCATTTATTCGTTTCCTGGAGATTAGAACTGAATTTAGAAATAGTTTTTAAACAAATCTTTGCGCTTAACAAACTAAATTAATTATTTATAAGGTAATGGATGTCTGTGCGTAAAGGTTTTCCTATCAACGAGAGCAAAAGTGAAAGTGAACTTACTTTACGTCATGTTAATAGCAATGCGCTTATGGCACGATGCAGCTGCTCTTAAAGGGAATGGGAGATGAGACTCTGATTGGTTTATTCTCAAAACACACCTGTAACTCATTAAGAAAATAAACTCAACCCTTTTAGACCATGCGCCATGGTGCAAAGCGGATTTTCCCATCCTTAAGTTAGCAAAAATTAGTTCTGACATGCCCTAAAAAAAGCGTTTGCGCCCTGCGTTTTGCGCTCTGCGCATGCACCGTCAAAATAGAGCCCAATATGTTTGGTGTGGTCAGAGACAAATTTTAGTAAATCCTTCATTTTGAGCTCTGGAAAATGATGTGAAGTTAAGACTAATTTTAATACGACACTATGAAGCCGTGACCCATTTGATCATGACACACAAAAAGAGAAATGAATGAGGAGGCATGTGGACAAAACACCATCTAGGATATACTGTGAAAAATTCCTGAATCTGTTCAACATCATTTGGGAAATATTTGGAGTAGAAGTAAAACATATGATCAGGAGGGCTTAACTGTTTAAGTCTTTTAATAGCAGACACTTGTAACTTATCTTAAAGATATAGACAGTAATGTAAAGAAAATGTTACAGCCATCGTATTAATAGCCCCGGTGAGCCAAACTCAAGCGGTACAATGACAGTTCTGGTGCTTAAACATTCAGAGCTCATCAATCAGGCCGGAAAAGGCCAGTCGTGTTCCTGCTGTCATCTCCTTTATGAATTATGATATGATTTTATTGTTACCTTTTAAAGCGATCGCCTTATCTGACCTGTTGTTTTATGGCCTGGAGTCTTAATCTGGAGTTATGGTGTGTTGTTAATCACTTGTTGTTTAGGAAAGTCGACTGTAATGAGAGAGAGGTTGTTTCCCGACGCTGTTTTCCAGCCGTAATTTTCCTCATTTACAGCCTGCTGATCTTTAAACAACACGCTGACTTTAAAGCAGCATGCAGATTTAACTTCTTAAGACTTTTTCAGCTCACCGTTCTGAAGCGCTTCTGTTGGAAAACGTCTCATTGCAGTGATATTTTTAATGCTTTATTTCTGAATTTGAATGTATAGTTGAAGTCAGAATTATTAGCCCCCTTTTGATTTTTTTTTTCTTTTTTAAATATTTCCCAAATGATGTTTGACAAAGCAAGGAAATTTTCACAGTATGTCTGATAATATTTTTTCTTCTAGAAAAAGTCTTATTTGTTTTATTTCGGCTAGAATAAAAGCAGTTTTTAATTTTTTTAAAACTATTTTTGGGACAAAATTATTAGCTCCTTTAAGATAATTTTTTTTTTCGACAGTCTACAGAACAGACCATCATTATACAATAACTTGCCTAATTACCCTAACCTGCCTAGTTCACCTTAATTTAGTGAAGCCTTTAAATGTCACTTTAAGCTGTATAGAAGTGTCTTGAAAAATATCAAGTAAAATATTATTTACTGTCATCATGACAAAGATAAAATAAATCAGTTATCAGAAATAAGTTTTTAAAACTATTATGATTAGAAATGTGCTGAAACAATCTTCCCTCCATTAAACAGAAATTAGGGAAAAAAATAAACAGGGGCGCTAATAATTCAGGGGCGCTAATAATTCAGGGGGGTTAATAATTTCGACTTCAACTGTAGGTTTGGTAAAGAGCAGTGCTTCCCAAACTTTTTGCTGTTTGCACCCCTTTCTAATATTTGACACCTGTCAAGCCCCCCTTTCTCCAATTAAACTCCGCATTTTTAACTACAACACACACACATTTTCTGTATACATGCTTAAAATAAAATAATAAAATATGTGATTTTAATGGACAAGCTTTTTTTGAAGTTGACAGTTTTCACAGCATCATTAAGTACAGAAAAAAGTTCATCTGGCATGTTTGTCATCACTAGAACTTCTTGGTGGATGCCTCAGTGTAGCCAGGAAACCAATGGTGCAAACTAAAATCTGCTCTAAAGTCCAGCAAAGCGCGTTAGTTATGCGCCTATGCAGGTCCAAACACTTACACACTGCTGAACACACACAGGATGAACAGCAACACACAAATATATTCACAGATGAAAACAATTACAGGATTAAAATGATCCAGAAATTATGATTTTCCACATATAAACAGCACTGCCTCCATGCCTTCTTCACCTCGGGGGGCTTTTTCAGTTCATTCATGACCATCTGCATCTGTATAATGTGATTATTATTAGCAGTATTATTGATTATATGCAGATTTATATTTGTTTTAATAAACACAAGTGTAGATTTGTCCAGCTGTGGGGTTTTGGAGACGTCTGCATCAGTGGGGTATAAGAACAGGACGTGTGTTTGGATATAGCTCAGTTTTCTGACCACACTTCATTATTATTGTTCATTTATTTCTTTGCTGGAGATCAGAACTGAATTTAGAAATAGTTTTGACACAAATCTTTGTGCTTAACAAAGGAAATTAAACATGTGGGCTAATGATGTGTTCATTGGAGTGAGTTTCCACCGTTTCCTCACTGCACCAAAGTAAAGGAGTAAAGTAAAGAGAAAGTAAAGAGGCTGAATGGAGGAGGCTCATTCTTTATCCTCGCGCTGCAGATGCTCTGTTTAACTCACTAGTTTCCTCACTAGTGAAGCGTTCAGTTTTTATTTGAAGTTTATTTATAAACAAATTTCGAGAGGATCATGTGCTTATGATTGTTCACAGCTGTTCAGACTTTAGCTAATAACTAATTATCCTATCAGACGATCCTTAACTCATTATAAATAACCAGACTTTTCTCATCTCAATATCTTCGTCTCGAAGAAACCCCCACACCCAACCCTACTTTCCCTCTTTTCAAACGGGCGTCACGGTGGTCAGCGATTAGCGCTGTTGCCTCACAGCAAGAATGCCCCTGGTTTAATTCCTTTCCAAACCAGACGGCATTTCTGTGCGGAGTTTGCTCGTTCTCCCCGTAGTCGCGTAGGTTTTCCCCGGGTCCTCCGGTTTCCTCCCACAGTTCAAAAACAAGCACCCTAAACAATTAATCCAAAATATTTTAGCTAAACTCTGAGTACACCTGCAACATCCATATCTGACACTTAGCTAGAATAAGCAAGAGGGGGAGTCATCAAGATCTACCTGAGCTCAAACTCCCCTCTCCCCTTGCAACGGGAGGGAGCCCAGGGCTCGAGGATCTTATAAGCTCAGGGCTCTCTCCCAGGACAGCACGCCAAACTAGCCTTATTATCAATATTATTATTAAGTGTGAACTCTTGAAACTTATAAAGCCCACCATGTAAACAGTAAATGTGCAACTGACTTTTAAAGGGAATGTGAGACGAGACTCTGACTGGCTTAATGCATGTTATTCACCAAATACACCCAGAACTCATTAAGAGAATAAGCACAACCCTGTTAAACCGGAATGCAGAGCGTATTTATTCATCATTAAAATAGCAAAAGTGGATTAAGACACGCCCTTTCGCACCATGCTCTTTACACTTTGCTCCTAGATCATTAAAATAGAGCCTATTATGTTTCGCAAATGTGTTTAAAAAATCTTCTTTCATTTCAACAAAAATTGGGAAAAAAAACATGAAATATTAAAAATTGTAGAGGAGGGCGAATAATTCAGACATCAACTGTATATAAACCCGCTTCTGAAAGTTTAGAAATCCTCCTCTTTGACCCATATACAGGCGTGCGAGTAGTTTGAGCAGGCAGAGATTTGTGTTTGCTAATAGCGAGTCTGATTGATGGATCTCTCGTCACGATTCTACATTCATGCATTTGGGAGATGCTTTTATGCAAAGCGACTTTAAAGTGCACTCAGGTCTGTCACTCAAGGTGCTTTATCACTGGAAATCATTTTCTCCATGGAGGAAATTAATGGGATTTTTACCTGTGGAAGCTGCGAGTTGCGCTCTGTGAAGTGTGACAGAAGCACAGAGAAGGAGTTTACAGTGTTAGAAAGCAGATAAAAAAAGAAACGCAGGATGAAAACGGCTGTATTTTCGCCTTTAACTGTGACAAAGAAAGTTTTATGCACGTACCGTACTGTAGTACACTGGAATAAACACATTTTTCACTTATAAATTGCTTTTAGGCTTTACAAATAAATGGAATTAAGTAGCAAGCAATGCTTAATTCAAACAGTGGAAGGAAACTGAGATTACATTTTAATTAAATATCTTAAAAGTCTTCAGTTTTGCACTAATTTTAGAATTTATAAATGCAATAATTTTATAATTAACAATAATTAATAGTAAGCTATGTTGCCAAGTCATCGATGCCAAGTACGCTTATTTGGTCCGCTTTTGGTGCGCACTGGAGTACGATTGCTGCATTCTCACCGGCCCAAACCAACCGCACCTAAAGGGGAAACGAACTCTAGTGCGATTCAATCTAACTAAACAAGGCAGGTGTGAAAGCACCCTTACTTTAGTTATCTTTGCCTTGAAGAATCCCCCCCTTCCAGTTCTTCTCCTCCACCTAGGGTGGCCCACTGATTAGCACTGTTGCCTTACAGCAAGAACGTCACTGGTTCAAATCCTTAACAGTCCAGTAGTGGTTTCTGTGTGGAATCTAAATGTTCTTTCCATACTTGTGTGGGTTTCCTCCGGGTTCTCCTGTTTCCTCCCACAGTCCAAACACATGTGTCATAAGTGAATTGATTCATCTAAATTAGCAATACAGTGGAGCTCTTAACCAGCAGTATATCTCTAGACAGTGATGTAGCGCAAAATGCAAGGGGGGCACCTGCACGAATTATTAACGGGGCCCCCGAAATCACTCTCAGTGGGGAGTTACGGTCACAGAAATCACAGAGGTGACAGGGCACCTTATCATGCGGGCCCACCCATGGTGCGTGAGAGAGTTCTCAAGACCTACCTGAGCTCAAACTACCTTACAAACAGGAGGGAGCCCCAGGCTCGAGGATCTTCTGAGCTCGTGTCTCTCTCTTGGGACAGCATGCAAAACTCATTTTATAATCGATCATCCGCTAAGTGTGAACTCTTGAAATATGCTTTATTAATCAATTAAATATCATTTAAATAAATACATCAATTTAATTAACTGAAGCAGGTAAAGTTACCCGAAAAAGTTGACCCCCCTTGATCGTCAGTGTATAATCTGCAATCCCTTCCATACATACAAACAATCTCATCAATAAGCATATTTATATTCAGAGCGGTTTTGCTCACATCGAACAGGAGCAACACGTGGTAAACGGCGAATTCAGACACACACACACAGTCAGAGTTCGACGGCTGCATAAAAATGACCAGCAAATGATGAGTGCGCTGTGACAGGAACATTCATCACGTCTGCACTGTGTGTTTTCATCCTGAGAGAAACACTACACTCCACCTTAAACAAATTCAAGCACTTCTGGAGAATAAACATCAGACAGTCCTGTGAAAGCATTATAAACTACCCTGTTGTTCTGAATACTTACTGTGATGAGCGCGCTTTCAGTAAGTGTGTGGTAAAAACAGTATTTCTGCAAGTACTTTAGAGCACCAGGGAGAACTCAAGCGATGAGATTTCCATAGACGTTACAGTGGTTCTACATTACAGGGATATTTAGTTGTGGATTTGATATGTGTTGTGATTTAGTATAGACGGTTGAAGTCCCCCCCCCCCCCCTTATTTTTTTCCATTTAACAGAGAGATTTTATTCAACACATTTCTAATCATAATAGTTTTAATAACTCATTACTAATAACTGATCTCTTTTCTCTTTATCATGATGACAGCACATAATATTAGACTATATTCTTCAAGACACTAGTATTCAGCTTAAAGTGACTTTTAAAGGCTTCACTAGGGTAATCAGAGTAAAGTTAGGGTAATCAGGCAAGTCATTGTATATCAGTGGTTTGTTCTGGTGACAATCCAAAACTAATATTGCATAAGGGGGCTAATAATATTGACCACAAAATGGGTTTAAACAATTAAAAACTGCTTTTATTCTAGCCGAAATAAAACCAATAAGACTTTCCCTAGAAGAACAAATATTATAGGAAATACTGTGAACATTTCCTGAATCTGTTCAACATCATTTTGGGAAATTAATAATGCAAAAAAATAAATAAATAAATAACAGGAGGACAAATATGTTTTTACTTCAACTGTATTTTTTTACTTCAAACTGTATATATATATCAAGTTTTAGGAACTGCAGATAATAAGTTGACTTCTAGTTGATGATTTGGTATCAGCAGTGGCTTATATGAAAGGCAAAGGCCTCTAGATTTTGCTAATTTGAGCACAATAAAATCTGATCATGCCTTGATTATTAATGATTTGATTAGGACAGTGCGGTCTGACTCTGCTTAGACTAAAGTCTCATCACTGAACAGAAATAATGTCCAGTATAGAATATAAAGTCCTGCTGCAGTGGAGACAGAATGAATATTGTGTCTGACTCCATCATGAGCTTGGAGGACTGCATCCATACATCTCTGACATGACTCAAATCACTGATTAATAAAGTCATCTGGAATGAAGAAGAAAGCCTTCAGCAGGATCCCAGAGCTCATCAAGACTCTTTGTGTTCATCTTCAATGTCTCCTTCATCTTGCCTCAGACATGCTCAATAATGTTCATGTCTGGTGACTGGGCTGGCCAATCCTGGAGCAGCTTGACCTTCTCTGCTTTCAGGAGCTTTGATGTGGAGGCTGAAGTATGAGCAGGAGCGCTATCCTGCTGGAGAATTGTCCCTCTCCTGTGGTTTGTAATGTAATGGGCAGCACAGATGTCTTGATACCTCAGGCTGTTGATGTTGATCATCCACTCTGCAGATCTCTCCATACTGAATGTAACCCCAAACCATGATTTCTCCTTCACCAAACTTGACTGATTTCTGTGTGAATCTTGGTCCATGCTGGTTCCAGTAGGTCTTCTGCAGTATTGGTGATGATTGGGATGCAGATCAACAGATGATTCATCAGAGAAATCCACCTTCTGACACTTTTACACACGATCAACTAGAAGTCAAGTTGTTCGCTGCTCTTACAACTGGGATCCATGACAAGACTTTTATCAGGGAGTGTAAATATATTTATATATGAAGGGAACATTCTGAAAGCAGCTCATGTAAACACCTTCATCATATTATCGTCTTATTCAGATTTAGGTGAATGACCTGATCACTGACGTCCATGTAAAGGCGGTCAGAGTTTACCTGCCGTCTGCATGCGGTTGAGTCTGATGCTGGGTTCAGTCAACACCTGCTCAAACGTCCTCAGTTCACGACAGAACCAGCTCTCTGCTGTTTTAGGCCCCACACCGAAAACACTGCAGAACAACTGACACACACACACACACACACACACACACACACACACACACACACACACACACATTCATGAACACACAGTACAAACACGCTGCTCCTGATCACAGACCGACTGATTAACAGACCGACTGTACCTTCATGGTGCGATAGCGCTGATCATTCTGGATCTCTTCAACTCTGGAGGAAGATCCACATTCACAGATCTCCTGACAACACACACACACACACACACACACACACACAACTATGAGCTGATGGGATTGAATGTTTATTCCATCTGCACACGCTCAAGTGCACACACAGAGACAGACAGACAGACACACGCACGCACACAAACACAAACACACACACACACACACACACACACACACACTCAAAACAGATACTCCTACACACTAAGAAACACAAATATCTATAAACAAACACATAGACAGAGACATACAGACACACGCACTAATGCACAAACACAAACAGACAGACAGACACACACACACACGCACTAAAGCACAAACACACTCAAAGAAATACTCCTGCAAACTAACAAACAAATATCAACAAACTCGTACTCTCTCTTTCACGCACACACGCACACACACACACACTTGTGCACAAGCACAAACAGTGACAGATACAAACACACACACACACACACACACACACACACATGCACAAACACCTGTTTAAAAAAATAAATTAAAAAAAAAAAAAAAAAAAATATATATATATATATATATATATATATATATATATATATATATATATAGGCAAATAAATGCATACATAAATATATAAATAAAAATAAATAAATAAATAAATACATAAATAAATATATAAGTACATATATAAATAATTATTTAAGGAAATATATAAATAAATATAAAAGTAAATATGTAAATAAATAAATATATAAGAAACCATATAAATAAATAAATAAGTAAATATATAAGCAAATATATGAATAAATAAATATATAAGAAAAGATATAAATAAATATATATAAAAAATATAAAATATATAAATAAAAATATAAATAAATATATAAATAAGTAAATATATAAATAAATAAATATATAAACAAATATATAAGAAAATATACAAAAAATATATAAATAAGTAAATATATAAATAAATATCTATATATAACTAAAATACATAGATACATAAAAATAAATAAATAAATAAATAAAAATTATATATATTATATTATATATAAATAAATTGTTTGTTTGTTTGTTTGTGTTAAATGTATGCTTTTGAATTGTAATATTTGTGGTTAAGTTTACACAATTGACAATCTTAGGCCTGATATGATTGATTTAGAGGTGACATGTTACACATCTGAATGCAGTGTGTGTGTTTGAGTGTTTGTTTGACAGCTGAAATCTGGAGAATACCAATATACAAGCTCATCAGATGATGGCATATTTAAAATGAAAGACAATACGCCTGTGTTAAATAATAGAGTGTGACAAACACGTCACGTCTCCGTGGTGAAAGTTGTATAATTACAGAATGTCCAGTAGTTAAGGGGGACATAATACACACACACATACATCCATCCAGTGTTTGCTGATAATGAATTGTGTGCAGTTGAGTCTCTTATTAAGTTGTGTTGAGGAGTCAATCATTAAAGTGATGAATGTGAACGCAGAGCTGTCTGAATGTGATTAATGCTGCACGCACACACACAGAGACTGAACAGAGCACATGCAGTGTGTTGAAAACAGTGCAGAGTTGCAATCAGCTCTTCATTACACTTATTAAGCTGCAATTAACCAGGACACTGCATCTGTGTGTGTGTGTGTGTGTGTGTTTGTGTGTTTGTGTGTGTGTGTGTGTGTGTGTGTTTCTGTATGATTGTATGTATAATGTGTGTGTGTGTGTTGTATATGCATGTGTCTGTACAGACATTAGGACACACACAGACAGATATCTGACCTCCAGCACGGCTCTGCTGTTGTCCCCCAGGCAGGGTAGTCTCAGTGCCTCCTCTGGGCTCCGCAGCGCAGCAGGGAGGCTCTTGAGCACTGATGCGGCTCTGCGAAACCCCAAACACGAGCCCTGATTCCCACTGAACTCACTGTTCAACGCCAGCACCTCCAGCGCTTCCTGCAGCACACACACACTTCTGTCAAACACACACATTTAAACACACCCATCTTTTACTTTTAAAACCTCTTGGTAGTGAGTTCTGCTCTCCAGACTTCACCTGTCAAACACATAAACACAAGCTCAGGCAGAAACATGATCTACTGCTCAAACACACTGCAGATCTGAGTCAAGGTGCAAAACCAAAGAAGAAACTACTTTTAATAGTCACTTCTTTGACATTGTATACTTATTTTACATTGTCTACTAAAGGAGGTCAAGCCTACTCATTTATGGCTCCTAAACTCTGCAATAGCCTTCCTGATAATGTCCGAGGCTCAGACATACTCTTTCAGTTTAACAATAGATTAACGAGTTTAACTCCGCGGACTCGGTACCTAGACGTCATCGACTTTCACTTTAAGATTTAAAGGGCCAGCATTGCACCAGACCCCCTTAAGTGGTTTCGTTTGAAAGTGTAGAATCTATATTTTATGCACATATGCATCACTTTGGTTTTTGTTCTACTGTACAAAAGTTATTTACACTTAAATACACTGTGTTTTGGAGACCCGAGCTAGGTGTTGAACATTGGTTCATTTTCATATGGTTCATATATGACACATGTACAAGTTATAGCTCAAATGAAAGCTCTTGCCGGTGCTCATACAGTTCTAGCATTCTTTTTACTGAATTATATTCACTTATCAAACAGTTGCCGAATGAATCGTGGTGTTTCCATGGTGCAGAAGTGAAAACAATACATTTATGATCAATAAGCAGCCCCAGATAGCACAGACAGCTGTCATCTCTTACCTTATGCTGTGCGCTTCAGGGTCATTCTCCTCTGTTTTTTAGGTGATGTGCATAAGTAATCCTTTTATATGTCTGATGTGGTCCAAACACAGTGAATTATGTTTGATCAAACAAAAGAATAGTGAAATATGAAAACAATGATCGCTCCCTGTGGCTTGTACAGCACCTCTCATCAGTTAAAATACAATAACTTCTGCATAGATTATGGTGGAGACATTTTTCTTTTTTCCTATGATTACAGACATGTGCAGGAGCCACCAACATTAATTACAGCACGCTAGACCACACACAACCTAAAAGATACACTTTCACATTTGAGCTCATAAAAAAAATACAAAAACTGCCTCTTTTTTTAGGTGTTTATTATAACACAGACAACATATACAGTTATTTTAAACACTTTCAATAGTGTTTTATAAAAATTCAAAGGGTTTTCTTTAAAATGATACCAAATTTTTGCATTTACACCTCTGCATGTGGATTTGGGAAGCTTTTAAATTTGCGTAGGCAAAATCCAGGTGGAAATCCCAAAATAGCAGCAGAGTTTAACTGGTTAAAGACCTATCTTTTTAGTAAAGCATACACTCGCATAGCGTTATGATACATGAGTGTGCTTCTGAAACACTCCTCCTGTTTTAACGCAGCAGACATTTTGTTAGAAACTCTCATATGCCTTGCATGTTAATTTCTATGTTTGTTTATATATCTGCTATTTTCATTCATAAGACTCCATCTTTGCATCTCATGTTTATATACACTATGAACAGCAGCTACACTTATCATTCTCTTTATTCTCTATTTCCACAGAGCAACTGATGTGATCCAAGTCCTGTGAAGAAATGATGCCAAGGTCTCCGTAATCCTGGACCAGGCCGTATCCTGAGCTGATGCTGTGGTGGTCATGGAGGAGTGGAGAGCATGAGAGTGATTCCTGAAAGACTCCAGTGACAGACGAGTCTCCGCATTGATCCTGTGGGCCAGCCTGAACACCCGCTGGTGACCTACTCACACCTGCAGCTTCTCCACGATGGACATCCAGCATTCTCCAGCCTCCGGCGCCTAGACTGCAGCTCTGCACAACAAGTTTGGCCTTGAAATGGCCGTGCCCAACTGAACCTGACTTCTCTTAAGGTTTTTAATCCTTCCCTTTGGTCAGTTGGTGAAGTTTGTTCCTCCACTGTCGCCACTGGCTTGCTCGGTTTGGGACTTGTGGAGCTGCGCATCAACAGATTTGCTCTTCAGTGTTTGGACTCTCAGCAGTGAAAATTAAAAATTAAACCACACTGAACTAAACTGAACTTCAATATAGAAAACTGAACTGACACAGTTTCAGTCTACTAGAACTTCAGTGTTCAGCTGCTTTGTCACAATCTACAGTGTAGAAGCGCTGGAGAAATAAAGATGAATTAAACTAAATCAAATGCTCTCTAGTGTTTGACATGCCCCGCCCCCTTCTTATCATTAGCTGTTCATTTGATCCACTTGAGCTCAACCACTCTCACTAACAGAGCTGTGAGGAGAACCAAATGATATTGGCTGTTTTTAAAAAGGGGGAGGAGTTACACCATGTCCCACCCACCCTTTATGTTTCAGTTAAGATTACATCAAACATTAAATAAAAAAATTTACATTTCAAAGCCAACATAGGCTCATTCTGAAAACGTACCCCTATATACGTTTCCGGAGATCGCAAATTAAGTAGCCAGAGCTACGTATGACTGCATTTTGACTTTAAAACAAACGCTACGGGGCAATATGACGTCGTTCCTTTGCTCGCTAACCAGCTGAACACTCACCTGAATGTGGATGGCTTTTCCACTGTTACCAGTTTGTCCGGTAGCTCGACACACACGTCAGCAAACTTGAGATGCGAGTTCGAGTCTGGCGAAGAATGGTTTCAGAAAGCAGGTAAAACAAAAACAGAAGCCAAAAAATAAAATAAACAAGTAAATAACAGGCTGAGTATGAGGTAAAATCTGAAAATGTGGTAAAAATCAGGCAAGGGATTTTCTTTTTTTGCTGAGGTTTAGAGAAGTGGGTGATCGGGTCAATCGGTGCTTTTCAAAATACTATTGGTTAGGTTTAGGGAAGGGGGAGGGTGGGGGATCGGTCAGTTGGTCAGTCAGTCAGTCAGTCAGTCGGTCAGTCGGTCAACAGCGCCCTCTGGTGGAGTTGTGTAAAAACAGCAGACGTGAATGACACTTGCAAGATATATTAGAGACCTCAAAGACCGTACACAGCGGCTTCTGGTGGATTTACATGAGAACAGCAGGCGTGAATGGCACGCACAAAATATATTTGAGACCTCAAAAAGCGTACACAGCGGCCTCTGGTGGACTTACGTGAGAACAGCAGAAGCGAATGACACTCGCTAGATATATTGGAGACCTTAAAAAGTGTAGACAGTGACCTCTGGTGGATTTACATGAGAACAGCAGGTGTGAATGGCACTTGCAAGAGAAATTTGAGATCTGAAAAAGCGCACACAGCGCCCTCTGGTGGATTTACATGAGAACAGCAGGTGTAAATGGCACTCACAAGATATATTTGAGACCTCAAAAAGCGTACACAGCGGCCTCTGGTGAATTTATGTGAGATCAGCAGGGGTGAATGGCACTTCCGAGAGAAATTTAAGATCTCAAAAAACGTACACAGCGGCCTCTGGTGGATTTACATAAGAACAGCAGGTGTAAATGGCACTCACGAGACATATATGAGATCTCAAAAAGCTTACACAGCGACCTCTGGTGGATTTATGTTAAAACAGCAGGTGCAAATGGCACTCGCAAAATATATTAGAGACCTCAAAAAGTGCAAACAGCGGCCTCGGGTGGACTAATGTGAGAACAGCAGGCGCGAATGACACTTGCGAGATATTTTGGAGACCTCAAAAAGTGTAGACAGTGGCCTCTGGTGGATTTACATGAGAACAGCAGGTGTAAATGGCATGGACAAGATATATTTGAGATCTGAAAAAGTGTACACATCGTCCTATGGTGGACTTACATGAGAACAGCAGGCGCGAATGACCCTCGCGAGATATTTTGGAGACCTCAAAAAGTGTAGACAGCGACCTCTGGTGGATTTACATGAGAAAGCAGGCATGAATGGCACTCGCAAGAGAAATTTGAGATCTGACAAAGCGTAAACAGCGCCCTCTGGTGTATTTATATGAGAACAGCAGGTGTAAATGGAATGCACAAGATATTTTTGAGATCTGAAAAAGCGTACACAGCGGCCTCTGGTGGACTTACGTGAGAACAGCAGGTGAAATGGCACTCGCAAAATATATTAGAGACCTCAAAAAGTGCAAACAGCTGCCTCGGGTGGACTAACGTGAAAACAGCAGGCGCGAATGACACTCGCGAGATATATTGGAGACCTCAAAAAGTGCACACAGCAGCTTCTGGTGGATTTACATGAGAACAGCAGGCGTGAATGGCACGGACAAGATATATTCGAGATCTGAAAAAGCGTACACAGCGGCCTCTGGTGGATTTATATGAGAAAGCAGGGATGAATGGCACTCGCAAGAGAAATTTGAGATCTGAAAAAGCGTACACAGCGCCCTCTGGTGGATTTACATGAGAACAGCAGGTGTAAATGGCACTTACAAGATATATTAGAGACCTCAAAAAGTGCAAACAGCGGCCTCGGGTGGACTAACGTGAGAACAGAAGGCGCATATGACACTTGCAAGATATTTTGGAGACCTCAAAAAGTGCGCACAGCGGCTTCTGGTGGATTTACATGAGAACAGCAGGCGTGAATGGCACGGACAAGATATATTCGAGATCTGAAAAAGCGTACACAGCGGCCTCTGGTGGACTTATGTGAGATCAGCAGGAGTGAATGGCACTTCCAAGAGAAATTTGAGATCTCAAAAAGCGTACACAGCGGCCTCTGGTGGATTTACATAAGAACAGCAGGTGTAAATGGCACTTACGAGACATATATGAATTCTCAAAAAGCTTACAAAGCGGCCTCTGGTGGATTAACGTGAGAACAGCAGGCGCAAATGACACTCGCGAGATATTTTGGAGACCTCAAAAAGTGAGCAGAGCGGCCTCTGGTGGATTTACATGAGAACAGCAGGCGTGAATGGCACGGACATGATATATTTGAGACCTGAAAAAGCGTACACAGCTGCCTCTGGTGGACTTACGTGAGAACAGCAGGCGCGAATGACACTCGCGAGATATATT